CTCAACGTATATAATTTATTTTTAACTAAATCATAGAAAAATTTAGAATTGGTGTATAAACAAATAAACAAGAAAAATATATATACTTAACGACAATAGTATAATGAACAGGACATTTACTTTTATTTTTTATTAGAGGATACAGGTGGTATTCATGTTAAAAATAATTTTTGATTGATGTTTATTTTATTAAATATTACGAGTATATATATATATATATAGATTTTGTAGAATGAAAAAAGAAATAAATAATTACTTATAAAAGATATATTAGATTGCTTACATATTTAATTAACACGTCCGCGAGATAGAGACTTGTGGGCATGTATGACGGCATATAAAGTTCTTCTTAATAAAATGTCTTTCAACCTCAATGTATTCGCTTTAATCATATTGCACCATATTACAAGTAATGTTTTATGGTCGATTTGTTACAATACAGATATATAGAATTTTTTCACCTAATTTTAAGATCTTTTAAATAAATAAAAAATTATTCATAATAGTTCATATACCATTACTCGAAATTCTAATTTTGCACTCGATTTTGCAACTACATTTTTAGTTTTTGGTTTTTCATGTGAATAGGTTGACCATAAGAAATATACGGTAGTTTGTAGTATATATTTTAATTACAGTTGACTCTGCATAATCTATATCGATATAGACTTTTAGAAGTAATTTACCATTCTTTTTTATTATAATTTTTTTGTGGCTCTTTTAAGTATTACAATACTCTATCGGCTATTTATAAGTGCATTTCTTTTAGGTTGTGCATGAATTAACTTTTAACACTTATTACATAGGCAATGTCTAATTTTGTGTGGGATAGGTAGACCAATCTCTCAATTAATCTATAGTATATTTCTTTGTTATCCATGATTTGTGATTATAATTAATAGAAGCGCTAGTTGGTTTACATATTAATCTGTTAGCATTTTTTAACAAGTCATAAATGTATTTCTGTTGAGAAATAAAAATGCTCATATTTATATTGAACAATTTCAATTCCCATAAAATACTTCAATTTGTCTAGTTCATTGATTATGAATTCTTTTGCTAAGTATTGTTTAAGTATTTTGTTGTTCATTTTCATCATTTCCTATTATGATAATGTTATTATCGTATATTAAAAGAGTTGTAACACCACATATCTCTAAGTATTTTATGAAAATAATGTAGCCTCTTTGAGGTTGCTCAAATCATATATTTATCATCACCCTTGTAAACCTGCTAAACCATATTCTTGGTGATTGCTTAAGTCCATGTA